AACGTTGTCTACATTTGGTGTTTTATGTTCAGATACTTTGTTTTCATTGTTGTTTTTTATATCCAAAAATACCATGTCGCATTGTAGTGTTTTATATGAAAGACACCTTGTCATATTGTACTTTCTTATATCAAAGACACTTTGTCACATTGTAGTGTTTTATGCCAAAGACACTTTGTCACATTGTAGTGTTTTATATCAAAGACACTTTGCCACATTGTAGTGTTTAATAGCAAAGACAATCACATTGTAGTGTTTCATATCAAACACAATCAAATTGAAGTGTTTTATATCAAAGACATTTTGTCACATTGTAGTGTTTTATATCAAAGACAATCAAATTGTAGTATTTCATATCAAAGACACTTTGTCACATTGTAGTGTTTTATGCCAAAGACACTTTGTCATATTGTAGTGTTTTATATCAAAGACAATCACATTGTTGTTTTATATCAAAGACATTTTGTCATATTGTAGTGTTTTATACCAAAGAAACTTTGTCACATTGAAGTGTTTTATACCAAAGACACTTTGTCACATTGTAGTGTTTTATATCAAAGACACTTTGCCACATTGTAGTGTTTAATAGCAAAGACAATCACATTGTAGTGTTTCATATCAAACAATCAAATTGTAGTGTTTTATATCAAAGACATTTTGTCACATTGTAGTGTTTTATATCAAAGACAATCAAATTGTAGTGTTTAATAGCAAAGACAATCACATTGTAGTGTGTATTACCAAAGACTTTTCGTCACATTGTAGTGTTTTATATCAAAGACACTTTGTCACATTGTTGTGTTTCATATCAAAGACACTTTGTCGTAGACAGGTTGGCATATTGTAGTGTGTTTGTTATCAAAGACACTTTATCTATATTGTAGTGTATAAATTGATGAAAAAATGTTGTCTACATTTGGTGTTTTATGTTCAGATACTTTGTTTTCATTGTAGGAAATTATATCAAAGATACCATGTCACATTTTAGTGTTTTAATATCAAAGACACCTTGTCATATATTATAGTGTTTTATATCAAAGACAATCACATTGTTGTTTTATACCAAAGACACTTTGTCACATTGAAGTGTTTTATACCAAAGACATTTTGTCACATTGTAGTGTTTTATACCAAAGACACTTTGTCACATTGAAGTGTTTTATACCAAAGACATTTTGTCACATTGTAGTGTTTTATACCAAAGACACTGTCACATTGTAGTGTTTTATACCAAAGACACTTCGTCACATTGTAGTGTTTTATACCAAAGTCACTTTGTCACATTGTAGTGTGTATTACCAAAGACACTTCGTCACATTGTAGTGTTTTATACCAAAGACATTTTGTCTCATTGTAGTGTTTTATACCAAAGACATTTTGTCACATTGTAGTGTTTTATACCAAAGACACTTCGTCACATTGTAGTGTTTATACCAAAGACTCTTTGTCACATACATATTTTTTATGTTTTAAGCAGTGTCATTATGTTGATTTTACCAATAAAGCGTGTCTTTCTTTTAGATTATTCTGAAATATAAAAAAGGTTTGCTTTGAAATATCTTCCGAATTACTCTTGTTTTGACAGCCAAATGCAGAAACACAACAATACTTTTGTTCGGCCTGTATATTTAATCCAGGTTCCAAATGAATCTAATCTTTGTTTCAGAGACGTCTTAGGATTATGGTCATAATAAAACAACATACATCTACCAACTCATTTTTGTTCCAAGAATAAGCACACTGGTTTTATTACAGCTAATATAGTCATTTTCAAAGAATAACACCTTGAGGTGTTTTACAACTTAGATGTAGCCATTTTTCAAAGACCTGCTATGTCCTTTAAAGGCAACATACAGCTATCTTTAAAGAGTATCCCCTGGGTCTTCTACAGATAGCCATTTTAAAGAAAGTATGTACCCTTGGTCCATTACAGATAAGACATACTTCTAAAATCGATGTCCTCTAGGACTTCACCTCTCAATTCTTTAAGGATTGTCTCCCTTAGTGGTACCACAATAATTTTCTATAGGTCATTTACAGTTTAGATGCAGTCATTTTACAAGTGATTATGTCTCCTGGATCTATCACAGGTAAATAGTCATTTTCTAAGTACTGTATCCCCTGTAACTGTTACAGGTAAAGTATTTTTGAATGATCTTACACATTCAAAACATTGATTGATAATATGACACTGTTCTGTCTCCTTCAAAGGAGTGACGAAAGAAATTATAACAAGAGGCCCAAGGGCCTTAGCGGTCACCTGAGTTATATCATAGGTACTGGTAGCTTTATTTTATTGTTAAGATGTGATGTGGAAATCAGCATGTAAAATAAGTGAAATACAATACTTGCCATGTCATCAAAGGATAAGAATTTTAAAATATTTGTAAATGTTCCCTTTGGGGAAGAAGATTTTTGAAAAATTGGTTAAATTTCCATTTGGGGCCCCGCCCTGGCCCCTAGGGTTGGGGTAGGAATCCCAATTTTACAATTTAAAACCATCTTACTTCAAGGATAATTCTCACCAAGTAAGAATAATTTCCAACAGAAGATAGTCAAAATATACCCAAAAGTGTTGTTTCCCTATATAAACTATAGTAAACTTTACCCCCTCCCCAATGGAGAATGGATAGCTCGGGGGTCCTGAAATTTACAATTTAAATAAAGCCCCTGATGATCTTTCCATCCATGCAGAGAAAATGACTGTAATACCTCTGAGTCTGGAGAAGAAGATTTTTGAAATATTGACTAATTTTCCCTTTTGGGCCCCGCCCTGGTCCCCAGGGTTGGGGTAGGGATCCCAATTTTACAATTTAAAACCATCTTCCTCCTCCAAGGATAATTCTCCCTAAGTAAAAATAATTTCCAACAGAAAATTGTCAAAATATACCTAAAAGTGTTGTTTCCCTATATAAACTATAGTAAACTTTACCCCCTCCCCAACGGAGAACGGATAGCTCGGGGGTCCTGAAATTTACAATTTAAATAAAGCCCCTGATGATCTTTCCATCCATATAGAGAAAATGACTGTAATACCTCTGAGTCTTGAGAAGAAGATTTTTGATATATTAGTTCCAATAAAAAAATTCCCTTTTGGGCCCCGCCCTGGCCCCTAGGGTTGGGGTAGGAATCCCAATTTTACAATTTGGTAGCCTCATCTACCAAAGATAATTCTGACCAAGTTTGAAAAAATTCCATCCACTGGTTCTTGAGAAGAAGTTGATAATGTAAAAAGTTCAGCACGACGAACGACGACAGACGGAAAGTGATTGGAAAAGGTCACTTGAGCAAAGCTCAGGTGACCTAAAAAAGAAAAAGCACTAGAAAGAAATTTGAATTTGCCTTTATTTCTATATTTGTTTCTCATTCAAAATATGTTTTTGACAAGTAAAGGTTTATCACACATTTTCATCACAGTATACGTATGGTGGTTCAATGACGTTACTATGTATTATGATTTAAGCATAAATCATTCAATAATCAAATGACACAACGATTGCATTGTTCGTCTTTGAAAACCAAGGGATATGCTCTTGATATATATTTGAGGCTGGGTATTAATGTAAGTACTAGATATAAATTAGAGGCTGGGTATTAATATAAGTACTATATATAAATTAGAGGCTGGGTATTAATATAAGTACTAGATATATATTAGAGGCTGGGTATTAATATAAGTACTAGATATGAATTAGAGGCTGGGTATTAATATAAGTACTAGATATATATTAGAGACTGGGTATTAATATAAGTACTAGATATATATTAGAGGCTGGGTATTAATATAAGTACTAGATATGTATATCTTCTCTTCACACTTGGATTAACTCAAGACAGAATAAAAGGTTCAGATTTAGCTATTTGATTGGTTCCAGATATCAATCACACACTAAACGCAAGGCTGTGCTTTGAAAATCAACAAACAGTTGCTCTGTAATCAAAGCCAGTACAAACTTCTGTTCGTTGCCACATGATTCACTTTTATCTTTAGTTATAACATTACTCTGAGATCACAGGTATGCAGTTTATGTATTTTGGTAGTTTCTAGACTAGTTAACCCTTTTCTTTCACCTCTATGTAACTTTAGTAAACTCTACCATGCATTGATCTGTATGAATCCATTATGGTCCACAGTGGTGAAAGAGTTGACATGCATCATCTACATTTAAATCTGTCATGAGGAAATCAAAGGGTCCCGAGTAGATGTGATATCTAGAGAAAACCCCTCGGATTTCAATGATACGATAGCTCTTCTCAACACTTCCTCTATCGTGTAACCTTGACCTTCCCTGGTGGATTAGTCACATCAAACAAATCTACTGACAATGAAGACAAGAAATCTGTTATATGTTATACTGGTAATTCTACATTTGCGATGTAATGACAATTTTTTTTTCATTAATAACCATGTATTGTTTAGGGGATAGTACATTGTTTTGAGTGGCTATACTGGCGATTAGAACATGAAATTTGGTTTGATCTCGAGACTGATAGGTCGAGAGTTTAAAACAGAATTGCATGCTCTAATCGCAAGTATAGACCCGAAAAACAATGTACTATCCCCATTCTAACACACCTCAACAAATATACTACTCTTATATGTTTAGAAACATTGTATTTCCTTGTACAGTAGCTTGTAGTAGAGTACTCTGTGACCTGAACCGGCGACTTGTCATTCTGCAGCCGAATGACCAATCGGAAAGAAGCTTTCAAAAGTCGGTCATTTGGCCCCGCCCATACTGGCGAGCATTCGTTACCAAAGTTTATACGACACATTTAGATTAATATTGACCAAATTCTTGTCAGTATGCATACCAATCTGTGCTTACCGACAAAATTGGTGATTATTTGTGAAGAGTTTTGTGTAACGTTAAATTCATAAGACACATGTGTAATGTTTCGTTTCTGTTTTGTTGCCCACTAGCCTTATCAGCGGTATTTCGCTGAAGAGACGAGCTTGACGCCATATTGTTTTGGTTAGAAACGGGGCGTGGCTTAAGTGCTATGGGAGGAGCTTAACACGATTGATCATGATTCTAACGCAGATTAGAACATGGTCGTGCGTTGCAAACGAATCATGTTAGAATGGACAACAGACAATGCGCCTGCATGTGATATTTTTCAACAGACCAACATTCTTCCAAAAACATCCCCCACAAATGAAAACAATGGCAAGTGGGCCATACTGGAACAGGTTTCCTTTGTTGAATGATGTTACATGTTTTGTATGTAGTTAAAGATTTGCTAGCTGCTCTATTTTACCCCTTATAGATCTTCTTAAAACCTGTCATGATTACAGCAATGTCAGAAGTTGACTTGAAATAGTGTTTGTAAATCTGTCAAATGCAAATTTCATGTGTTGAGCTATGTGGATAGATGAGGGAGGGTGGGGTGGGGGTTTGATTGATTGAAATAAACATCTTGTATAAATCACGGTGTCAGTGTTAATCGTTTTAATTGTGACCAAAAATGAAAAAATTCTCCAATAGATACCAGGTTAAATGTACAAAATAGGCCACATTGATTATCATAGGGCCATGGTCACTGAGGTAGACTTGAAAAAGACTTTCATTACATTTTTCTTAGTAGAATAGATATAATCAGCATATCTTTGTATCTCATGGTTAAAAATATAACTGGATTCGAAAATGTTGGCAAAATAATCAACTCAGAAATCATTATTTAAACATTTATGTATTCACACATACAATGGTTATTTCATAAATAACTAGTTAAATACATTTTATTGGGTCTGCTTATCGCTCAATTCACTTTTCGACTGATCACTTATATGACCCACTGGTTTGAGATTCTGTTTCTCACATCTTCTGTGAACAGACTTCACATGATCAGTCAGTGCACCTTGAATTTTGAAAGTTGTTTCACATCCAGGAATGCTACATTTAAATGGACGCTCCTCTTTATGTATCTTATAATGCCGGTTAAATTGAGTGTTTGTTATAAAATCTTTCCCACATATTTCACAAACCAACTCTGATGAAGTTCTTTCGTGTTTCTTTATATGCAATGAAAATGTCTTCTTTTGTTTACACACAAAACTACATTGATCACAAGAAAACAAGTTATCTGCCTTGCTGTGATTTTTGTTGAAGTGAGTCACAAGTTCATCCTTCCTTGTTGTAATATATGAACATTTACTGCAGATGAATTTCATTTTCGGCCTATTGACACTGCTTAAACACTCAAAACTTGTGTCAGAGCTATTTTCTATATTGTGTACTTTAACAAAATGCTGTTTCCTGAGTTTTATTGATGCTGCTTTGTAAGAACAAATACTACAAACGAAAGGCTTTTTGTCACCATGGCGATCAGCCATATGAACTTTGAATTTGGTTTCCATTTTGAATTCTTCCTCACAGACACGACACATGAACTTTCTTTGTCCAACTTCTTCACTATTTTGACTTCCTGGATAAAAACTAACCTTAAATGTTACATTTTTATAGTCTTTTGGAACTGGCACATTGAAGTTTACATCATCGTCATCACATTCTAAATAAAGATCTATATCATCAAGGACAGTTGGGTCTATTTGATTTTCAAGATCAGAACAAATTGTTTCCATTTCGAAGTCTGGACTGGTAGGAAGAACAACTGTATCTTGATCTGCTATGAATGCACTATTTTGATTGGTTGGAAGAATGCTTGGAGTTTGTTGATTAGTTGAAAGGACTGGGTTTTGATTGGCCGCAAAAACCTGCTCCATGATCTTTTCCAGTGATCTACACCTACAAATAATTACAAATACATGACCATTAGAAAAAAATACTCAATTTTTGCCCATGAAAAATATCTTGTTACAGATAATAACGAGGAGTTTGTCAAGAAAATAAACATAACACCATGAAAAAGTTGTCATGTACTATTGGATGACATAATACTTCACATTCAGAATTCAGAACATCTTCCTTACAAACAAGAAAGGTCTGAAAACATATTTTGTATGATTCATTACCTCCCTTAAAAAAGTAGCATTATCAAAGGAGGTGGGTGGGGTGGGGGGGGCTAGATCTATGCCCTAACAGTAACCTATTTGACACAGTGTGTATGCACTCTCTAGCGATAGGTGAAATGTCCCTGGTCGAGTGACATATAAAGTATACAATTTCATCCCATCGTTTTACAGGTTAAACAATACAAATCGCCCACTCAGTCATAGCTTTACAAAGGGACCAGTCGGTTTGATACATACTTTGTGTATGAAGTAACACTTTGATATAACATTAACAAAGTTGTTGGTGTTATCTAACTTACAACAATAGTACTATATACTTCTGTGGAATTATCGCCCTTAGATTAATAAACCAATAGCATCTACTTCTGGTGTTACCACCATACTTGCCAACTTTTTGAAATTTCTATGAGGTTCTGCATGCTAAAATTAAAACATCAATAAAATATGCGTAAACACTTTCTAGAGACAAAATAACCCTTAAAATGACATAGTTCGAGTTGTTCTTTCAGATGAAATCATTAGCTCTTAGAATATAAGAACAGTTAAGCAAATTCACTGATTGAACACTAAATTTAAGGATCCAGAATCAAGAGTCTCCCTCCTATAGGCTAGCGGAAAAAGAAACTGTGCATGCAGAGAATTTGTATAGGACATGTATTACCAACTGTATATACATGAAAATAAATTCACACACATGACCGAGTATGACACATACACACTATCTGTGTATCATTGACAGTTTTTCCCATGCAGTTTGCTCTCTATAGGCGTTGACCAGTTTGCAGGTTTTTCTCATCCAGACAGCCAATTCGACAATGAAAGTTTATTTTTCAACTGTTGGGTCACTCTGTTGACACCAATGAACAGTAAAAACAGCATTATAACATTTTAATTGGTGATTAATGCTATGCCGAGGCTCAACGAAAATGACCGCCTCCGGATTATTGGTATGCTTCAAGCTGGGCCAAGCCGTTGTCTCTACACCGAAACACAATCCGAATTTGTGGAGATGACATCAACAGTTTGACCACGTCGGCGATCGACCTTGTGCGGGACATCCACATGTGACGTCAAGTCAACAGGACAACCATATTCGGCTTGTCCATTTGAGAAATCCCTTCCAAACGGCAAGTTTGACTGCACAGACAATCCCTGGGTTGCTACCAATTAGCCCGAGAACTGTACGGAACCGATTGCGTGAACGAGCTATCCGTCCGCCACGTCCTGCAATCCGCCCACTTCTTCTGCCACATCATCGTGTAGCACGTCTGGACTGGTGCAGAAGGCATCTGCGATTTACTCGATGGGATTGGGCAGGCATTTTGTTTACGGACGAGTCGCGAGTCCACCTGGATAGTAGTGACGGCCGTTCAAAAGTGTATCCTAGCGTTTTCGTGACGCGTGTGTGGTGCAACGACGTTCTTTTGGCGGAGGCAACGTTATGACTTGGGGCGGCATCACAGCCAAAGGGAGAATGCCTCTGGTGGTTGTTAATGGGAATTTGAACGCGCTACGTTCCCGGAACCCTCGTCATTCCATTGGTGCAAGGGCAGCAACGTCACATTACGCTACAACAGGTCAACGCCAGGCCACACATGGCTCGTGTCGCTATGGACTTTTGGGCCAGCAGAACGTTGACGTGTTGCCCTGGCCTGCTGGTATACCCAGATCTGTCGCCCATTGAACACGTCTGGGATGAAATGAAGCGCAGATTACGGGCATTACCTAATCAACCAGTGACGTCGGCTGATTTGGCTGAGGCGTTGGTACAGATCTGGAATGCCATCCCACAAGCATTCTTGAACCGTCTGATAAGCTCCATGCGTCGACGTTGCCAGGCTTGCATGCAGGCAAATGGTGGACATACGAGGTATTAACTTTGTGAACTCAGTATTGACCCCTGCTGTGTGTACGTCACTCCTGAGCAGAACTTATTGATTCCATAACGTAGAAAATGGAATGCAACTGTTAATAAATAACAAATAAATTGTCCCTGAAAACCTTGTTGTTCTACGTCATACACATTTATTTTTATAACACATTTTAGGCATGCACAGTTTCTTTTTTCCGCTAGTATACTTAAAATATGGAGGGTTGGCAAGTATGTACCACCATTTAAACAATAGCATAAACATATATTTCATGCTGACCCAGAATTATTGCAATACACTTTTCTCTCAATCCTGTGGGTATTTCACAGAATTTTCCAGAGTAAGAAAGAGACATAAGAAATGTGTATCTTGCCCCACAATTTCACATGTGCGACATCGTTTTACCGAATTTGAAAACCCCTGTGTGGAACTTTGATTCCTTACACCATCCCTGGGCATGAAAAAGTCTTATAAGGAGATTACATTATCAACATATCACTGACATGCATCCTTAATTGATAGATCATACTAGAGCAACGGAGGTTATTATCGACAGGGGGGTATTATCGACCCCCGGTTCTATTCATCTCGTTTTGGATCGATTACGAACCGTTTTTCAGACACTCGGTGTTTTTGATAGATACACTTACATTTTTCGGTTAAACAAATTTTCTGAACTTTTTTTTTCCAAAGAGAAGAATTGATCCTGTTTTTAAACCTCCCTTACGGGCCCCGATAAGACATGTTTGGCACTTCGAATTTTGATAACATTTTTTTCTGAAATATTTGTCACATAATGGTGTAATCCAACTTCACTCATGAAGCGTCTGCAACGTTTGTCAGCGTAGTATCTACATCCGGGGTATTGTTAAGGTCGGAAATAGGGTTGTCGATAACTGCCGCAATTTGAGGATCGGAGGTAGTTATCGACAGTATGTTAAAAAAATACCAATTAATTTTTGTTTTATCCATTTAAAGCATATTTTTATGAATGATTTGTACTTCAAAGTTGCCTGTATGATTTCAATATATATATCGTGAATTGTGAAAGGTGAGAACATGTGCCCGACAAAATTGTATGCTGAAGTCTATCCAGCGAACAGACATAACTTTACAAGCAAAACTAAAATATTAAAAAATCCAAATTTCACAATAAAATCCATGTAGATAAGTCTTGTAAATATGCTCAAAATAAACTGCAATTACAAATTATGAAAAATATCAATATTTGAAGACACTGCAGTCATATATAGACAGAATATAATATAGAAAAGTAATCAATTACATAGATCAAATGGTGATGAAAATTGTTCTGTTAGGCAGGAGGTATATAACTAATTATCTTGTGAACATTAAGAACCTAAAAACATTTCCACATTGATTATTTCAAGAAGATTCAATTATGTTTTCTTGAATTAAATTTCTGATCTCTATCATTGTAGGGTAAATGCATCATAATTCAAAAAATTTGGGCTGTTGGAATGCATCACTGGGGATCAAAATAATACGAAATTGGGGTGGGACACCATATTGAAAGGGAACCAGAAAATGTGTTTGATCAAATTGCTGTGACGGTGACTGTTTGCGCATGCGTGCAGAAAAGGGAGCGTGCTTATTTACATTTATGACTTAACATATCACTTGACATGTTTATACCTTTTTTAAGCAATTGGACACACGTCAGAACAAATGAATGTATTATTAGAGATTAATAATAGAAATAATTAACATTTTAATTTAGCTGTCGATAACTACCTCCACCTGTCGATAACTACCCCTGTCATTAATGCCACCAAAACAATGATTTCTCCCGCGATTCGTCTCATGTACGTTTATTGCAGATGATGAAATAGAGTACGTTTCCCGACTTCTTCGAAATGCCATCATAAAATAACTTACGCAAAACGGTAAACTGGAAAAACAAATTTGAAGCTTAGACTGTCGATAACTGCCTCCATTGCTCTACTTGACCAGTTGGTCGGATAGTCTTATTTTGGAAACCATTCATATTAAAGAAAGTAATTAAAGCATGACACTTCTATTTAACTCAGAGACGTATAATATATTATATATATTATATTTATTATACGTCTCTGTTTAACCACGGACTTAGATATTCTAATTCCGTGGTTTAACTGAAGTAGAAACTGAAAGGAAAACGTGAGACGAGTGACTGGGGGTCTACCGTGGACAATCGGAAGCCAGAGACAAATGTAGGTATTTTTCCGTTTAAACGAATATAATTATTACATTACCTTTACGCACGGTAGGTCTTAAGTATTAATAATTCTTCAGACAGTGCTTACTGCGAGTGCTGCAGCGTACACCGTCACCATCGTCGTCTCTGTGCACCGAACAAAAGTGATGAAGGGGAGGCAACTCATTTCAGGTGTCGCGTTATAATCTACTGAAGTTGTGGTCTAACCTTTTTGGTATTCTGTGTATACATTAAAATACTACTTCTGAAGACTTAAATTAACAAAGAATTTATAATAAACAGATAAAAAGTATATTTGTACTTTTACTCCCCCCCTCCCCCCCTGCGCATATCAGTCAGTGAGGACGGAATTTCCTGACTAAAATACTTTCGGTTTCTCAATGAAAACCCTATCATGACGCTGAAGTATTACACCCTGTAAGATTCAATCTACGACCAAGAAGACGAACAACTGGCGGCACAGACGGAGTCGGAGCCAAGACTCGAAACAGGCCTAGTGAAATCATTAAGGTACCACCCATATAAAAGAGCGATTGGAAAAAACTGTGGCAGCTAATCTTGGTACGACTTCAACTTATTATATAGATAAAGTGGCTTATCAGAGAAATGATGAAAAGGGAGTCCATTTTTTTCCAAGTTATGTCTAAGTATGTGTTATGTCTCTTATTCTTCAAATGTACCGCGCGTACTTGACCACAAGTGAACGGACCCGCATAGAATGACGCACGACTATGATAAGAGGTGATTAACCGTGCGAGTGGTGACGGACGAAAAGACCGCGAATACCATGGTTACAGCAATTGGTACATACTGGCCAACTTTTTTTAAAATTCCATAGGGTAGATTACACGTTCTTAGAAATGTACACACCGGGGAAAACAACACTTTTAAATGGCTTATTTGAGTTGTTCATCAGATGAAATCATCAGATCTTTGAAAATAGGAAGAGTCAAATTCACTGGTTGAAAATGCTAAATTCTAGGGCCCAAAATCGGAAGTCTCCTTCCTAAATAGGGAGAGTTGGTAAGTATGATGATACCACAAAGAATTGACCGCGCGTATGGTAACATGATGTGAACGGTTTGGCCCGGGCGAATATGGCTATCGTTGTATAAAGTCACAACTACAATATTGTACGTACGTTTATGACACAAGTGAATGGTCCTCGCGTTTCTGACACAAGTGAATGGTCCTCGCGCACATTGTCACAAGTGAATGGTTCTCGCGTACATTGTCACAAGTGAATGGTCCTAGCGTACATTGTCACAAGTGAATGGTCATCGCGTCATTGTCACAAGTGAATGGTTCTCGCGTACATTGTCACAAGTGAATGGTCATCGCGTCATTGTCACAAGTGAATGGTCCTCGCGTATATTGTCACAAGTGAATGGTCCAGTGGTCCCCGCGTACATTGTCACAAGTAATTGGTCCTCGCGTACATTGTCACAAGTAAATGGTCCTCGCGTACATTGTCACAAGTGAATGGTCCTAGCGTGCATGGTCACAGTTGAATTGACCGCGCACATGGTCACAATCCATATATGCCCGGTCCGCGCATGTAAATATTAAAAATATGGATTGGGTCACCACGCGTGCATATTCACAGTTGAATGGACCTTGCGTATACGTACAGTCACAAGTGACTGGACCACGCATACATGGTTACAGTGGGTCACTGGCGAATGGACCGAATGGTAATAAACAAATGGACTACGCGGTTCCAAACGAAACTTGTCAGAATAAAACGCTTGAAATGACTATGTGCTAAATCTTTTTTTTTATGCCCATGCACTTATCTATTGACGCAAGAAAAATCAATATTTGTGTACCTGTTATTATGGTGTAGGCCTACTATCAAAATAGTACTAGTACATTCTTGTTTTCTGTATATTTTAGTGTTTAATATGATAAACATAGACAAGTATTCGATTGGAAAACATTGATTTCTCCTATTGGAAGAAAATATGTTCAAGCTTTGCAACAGGATAATTCACTCATTGGCAAACTATCGTCTTCCAAAAGGAAAACATCCTTACGTTACATCGTAAGTTTGGTTTGTTTGTGTTTTACGTTCTATCAACAGCTATGGTCATTTAAGAACGTGCCAGGTTTAGGTGGTGGAGGAAAGCCGGTGATCCCGGAGAAAAAAACACCTACCTACATTGCGATTGCCCCACGTCGGTCTCGAACCCGCGACCCAGTGGTGGAGGGGCCGCGGTGGTCAATTGGTTTCTGCTACAACTAGCATTATACATCTTAAGTTTAATATAGGTACGTGCAATAACTATACATATAACATACATACGGCATACGGCATATCTTGACATAATAATGAATATACCAACATACGTATATAAACACAGACATAAGCATGTATGGGAAGTAGAAAGCAAATCCCTTCTACACTTTGAAACAAAATGTTGTGCTCACATAACGGTTCCACCTAAAGCAATTAGAATGCCAAGACACAAACATAACGGGTAAGATATCTTTTAACCACCTACTCTACAGTCTGTTTAAACCAACCAAACAACCCTTGAAGTACAAACCAGGTAGGTTAAGAATCCTTATAATTCTGCTCGTTTTATTACAATGAAATGACATAGAATTAAATCCAGGCCCAAGTAATGACGCCACTAAATACACATGTGGTACTTGTGACACAACAGTTACATGGGAACCTAAGGGCATTGTGTGCGAAACATGTGACCAGTGGTTTCACACAGATTGTCAGAACTTTAATAGCCAAACATACCAAGACCAAAATGATAGTATGGTCAGTTGGCATTGCATAACCTGCGATCAGCCTAACTATAGTAATATTATCTTTGACCTGCATAGTAGCAGTACATCCAATAGGTTTGATAGCCTATACTCAGACCTTGACACATGCAAGTGTAAACACCATCAACAGTTGTAACATTCAACATAAACCTCTTCATTCATCAACCCCAGTTAGAATTAACAAGAAGCGGTATATCAAAAGTAAGACCAAACCCCTGAGAATACTAAACATCGACTTTCAGTCTGTTAAAAACAAACAACACATTCAGATCCCCCCCCCCCCCCCCCCCCCGATACTTTCAAAGTGTATCGTAACGACAGAAAACTCCCAGAATAGTGTTAAGGAAGGGGGAGGAGTCCTTATAGCAATAACAAATGACTACATCAGCGACGAGGTTCCTGATTTACTACCAGATGACAATACCACAGAAATAATATGAGCAGAAATCAAAATTGTGGGCAAAAAACATTATATATATGCTCTTACTACATCCCCAAAACATCAAACGATATCAGCTTTGCAAGGCTTGATACATCTTTGAGAAGGGCAACTGCCCTAAATAACGCGGCACTCCTCATTGGACTGAGGTGACTTCAATCTGCCAGGCTGGGGCTGGGGCGAAGGATTATCAAACCCAAAACTAGCCATGTCCAAAATCACTATATTTTTTCCAACTTGCTAGATGCTACTGGTCTTGTACAGGTCATAGATAAACCAACCAGGCATGAATATACCCCTGATCTCATAATCACAAATTTCCCTAATCAAATTTCCCGTACTGAAGTCATCCCTGGTATTTCAGACCACGACATACCATTTGTCGAATTTGATAGGCCCCTATCAGACCAAGAAATGTCCCCATCTATAAAAAAGCTAACTGGAACAGCATCAGATCAGACCTACTAAATTCCATCCAAGCTTACTCTGATTAAGATGTAAATACAATGTGGGAAATCTTTAGACTCGGTCTGGTTAATTCCATCCAAAACCATATCCCCCACAAAAACATCAAACCCAAACCTAGTCAGCCATGGGTAACCCCTAATATCAGAAAATTAATGCACAAAAGAGATAGACTCTACAAAAAATGTAAAAAAAAATCAGGGGATGTCAGTATAAAATCAAAATATAGGGAATTAAAACATCTTATACAAAAGTTATTGGGCATTACATTGAAGGAATTATCTCCCCTCCAGAGACCGATTCAGAATAGTTTGGCAAATAATACATATAGAATGGTATATTTTATATCCCTGAGGAGAGACTTATATAATACTACAGGGAAGCTTTATATGTCTCTGCCCTGAGTTAACTTTCTAAAACTTAAAATCATAACAGGGTGTAGCTCAATTAGTAGTATGTGCCTAAAATATTAGACGTACTCGCTATGGTGGCGTGAATCATTTGTGTTATTTGGGCCATGCGCTCATCGGTTCGAGGCTATCATCCGGGCATGCAAGCATCTTCAACATGGCAGCCGTCTGCAGTATCAGGAATGATTTGCAAATATGAAAATACGGTTTGCAAAAACGAGATAGAATAAAATGAATCAATAGAAATGGAGTTGGAGAAGACGGCAAGTCTAAATATTTTCAGCTGATACAGTGGTAAATGTTCTTGAATTTGTATAACTTGTGAATGCGATGTTTTTTCCGCCATTTTATCGTTGGACAGGTTACAATTTTGCTGACCTGACCGTTTCTATTCGTTATATTTATGATTGGAACATTATATTGACTTACGTTCAACATTTAAATGAAAGTAAAATAAAAATATGATTTGACATTAAGATGAACGTGTGGGGTAGGGCCCTGGGACCACTTTATAACCTTGCATACATTATCGATAAGTAACCACATCTATCGACCACCACGTGCATACCCTTTCTCCGTCGATTTGTTCACAACTTGAGATTTAAACAAGCATTATCAGTTTTAACGTCCTCGTGAACGAAACAGATATAAAATGCAATCTTATTTCAAAGCACATAGCGTTTGCAACGCAATTGCATGTCGACGGACGAAAGTATGTCACAAAATATACAGGTATTTACGTTACTGGCCTACTCGATATGACAATAACGCATAACACCGGTATAGTCGCGCGTTGATCCATTAATGGTATATGTATCCAGCTGAAGTTCATGCTGATGACATCTAAGTAGCATTAGCTTGATTTAAATGATTGTCTCTTGAAAACAGAACATTCTAGAAGCAGGGAATATAAGATGGGTAGCACAAAGAGTATATTTCTTCCTTGTTTGTCATATATTATGATAGATTTTTGTGTGTGTGCTCCACCCTGAGGCTGTTCGCTGTGCATTGCAACATGTCTTGTTGCCAGTCCAATTTCTAATTTGGAACTCCCAGAGATTAAGCCACATTTCTCTGGTGCCCACAGTAACTTTGCTACTGAAAATTTAAGGAGGAATCAAAAAATCAAACCAACCCACAGTGAAGTTAAAAAAGTGAATCTGACATGATTTTATACAGGTGTAATAGATACTATAAACAGAGATGTATAATACAGAGATTGGCAACTCATGCAGATCTCGCAAAAACATGCATCCCTGAGAAACGCTGCGAGACTTGGGTTGCGGCATGAGTGTTTGTTTTGATAGCTTATCGATCCTGGTGACGATAGTCTGGTCAGTGAGATACCTATGATAATTCGATCGTGCATTCGTTAGTTCGTGTCAACATGTCACATATCCTAGATATATGACTCATATAAAGAAGCTTGTTAGAAATATAATGTAATATCTGAATACGTTTTTGAAATAAATTAACGAACGAGAGAGGAGTGCCGGTGTCATGAAAGGAGTTCCCTCGCACATCACAGTCGCCGTTTTTTCAGAGCTCAATTATCAAATTTTGCAAGTATTGTAAAAACATTATTTGAAAAAGCTGTTGAGAAATTTTATGTTTGAATAAATATCTGAATATATTTTTGAAATTAAATAATGAATTAGAAAGGAGTTCGTGTGTTAATGTGTTAAGAAAGAAAAAAATCCTCACACGTCAAAGCCGCCATTTTAACTTGTTTATTCTTAAAACCTGTATTTTCATTGCTAAATTATGAAACTTTGCAAGTATTATAACAACCTCATTTTAATTTCCTGGTTAGAAATATCATAAAATACTTAATTTCTGAAGACTTTTTTGAAAATGTCTAAAGAACAAAAACGGAGTTTGTGTTCTAATTTGTCATGATAGAAATAACCCTCGCACATCCAAGCCGCCATTTTAACTTGTTTACTCAGAAAAACTGTATTTTCATTGCTAAATTATGAAATTTTACAAGTATTGTAACAACCTCATTTTAATTTCCTAGTTAGAAATATTAACTAATAATTAATTTCTCAAAACATTTTTGAAATTGTCTAAAGAACAAAAACGGAGTTTGTGTTCTAATTTGTCATGATAGAAATAACCCTCACACATCCAAGCTGCCATTTTAACTTGTTTACTCAGAAAAACTGTATGTTCATAGCTAAATTATGAAACTTTGTCAGTATTGTAACAACCTCATTTTAATTTCCTGGTTAGAAATATTATCCAATAATTAATTTCTCAAAACATTTTTGAAATTGTCTAAAGAACAAAAACGGAGTTCGTGTTCTAATTTGTCATGATAGAAATAACCCTCCCACATCCAAGCTGCCATTTTAACTTGTTTACTAAGAAAAACTGTATGTTCATAGCTAAATTATGAAACTTTGCAAGTATTGTAACAACCTCATTTTAATTTCCTGGTTAGAAATATTATCAAATAATTAATTTCTCAAAACTTTTTTGAAATTGTCTAAAGAACAAAAACGAAGTTCGTGTTCTCCTGAAGCCAGAATCATTACCGATATGTAAACACAGCCACGATGTGCAATCTTTCGATGTTTGGTGTTTTCTAAACTTAATAATTTAAGTTTACATTCAATGTAGCACTCCCAAACCGCATGGAAATCTCAGCTAGCTCCGGGTTTAATATTACGTTGATTTTGGATGTTTTCTCATGGCATAATTATGTTTTGAACAGAAAAGGATTATTTAATGCAGCGAACCGTATATCCAATATGGCGCAGGTGAAGCGTAACTCGCGATATGACATCCGGTTACCAGTGACCAATGGTAAGGCCAAGAGCAAGTCGCCAATCTCTGTATTATACGTCTCTGCTATAAAGCACATTAAGTTACTGGAGCTGTAATTATATTAAGAATTTGTTTCTTGTCTGGGTACAAAGCCAGATGAAATCTGTTCTGTTTCTACTGAAGTGTGTGGTTTATGTTTATTTTGGAAATGAAAAGTCAGTGTTCTTGATTACGTAGTGCTATTATTTTGGAGCATCCTGCTATTGATATGTGTTAGTATATGTGACCCCCCCTCCCAGTCTCACATAGCCAAGATATCTATTTAAGTATTTCAAGACTTAGTCACCATATTCCTGTCCCCACATAGACTGGTACTATCCTAACTGATTATTATGTACCTATCTTCAAAATCCACTCTCAATGTCATATCTATTCTGCATCCTTTGATTCTTATGACAGAGTTGAAAGCAGAGTCTTTAACGTGAGAATTTGGCACTGATTAAATCACAAGGATTCCCACAATGCACAATGACCACCAGTGGTCAGTTGCATGTGCTACAGAGGTGTCGTCTCACCTAGCATACATTTGGTATATTCCTATATACAGGTAAGGTGTTGGATGTATGCTAGGTGAGATTTGGTGTCAGTTAGAGAACAATAGGATTTAATTACATGTAAACTATAGTCTGTACTATAAAGTATCTTACCATGTGAATATGAACATATACACAGGATTGATTTTTGGTGTAAAATTTTATTTATTTATAAAATTGTTTCCACTTAATAATAGGGATATCAGATTAAATGTCCGAACTTTACATATTATTATAATACAATACAATTGGTTTTATGTAAGTGTCGCATATCGATATACATTAAACTACAGCAGATTTTACAAAAAGTAAAAGCTATTTAAAAAAATTAAATTAATCAGTTATCAACATCCAGCCAAATCTGGCTTATGAGACACTTAAAGTCATTATCACACTCTAAAATAACTAGCACTGTACATAATTACATAAAGTTAAAACATAGACCCCCTGTGATACATGTGATATAAAGCAGTGTCTAAAGTCGATCTGGTAAAGGTGTAACTGGACGAGAATACCGACCGGTTTTGACTTTTAACTTAAGATTACCGCAACAGAACTTTGTAAATGTTTGTCTATAGCCAAAATACATAATATTACTAATAAAGGGTTCAGTGCTTAATTCATTCTTATGTGTACGATATGTTCTTAGTTTGTTCCCATTAATATGGCCATTGTCATTCCACAGGCGTCGATACCAGTCATTTACATCCTCCTGAGAAAACATTCATCTGGCTATACAGAGGCACTGTTAAACTTATCCATCTTGGATTGTGTAAAGGCAAACAGGAAAACAGAATGGAAATTTGGAATTGTTATTTTTAAAGGAAGAAGGCCCCCAAAAAATTCTGTTTTAACCTTTGATAAATTTTCCTAATAATGCCATTTAATACAATGTTTTGGAGAATAAAAATGTCAATTTTGAAGAAACATTTTCTATTACCAAACGGGAAGTATTTCTTGGGTTAAATTATTTTAGATGAGGAATAAACAAATGTTGAGATATAGAAACACATATCATATAAAAAACATTCAATATATAACCATACACACGACAAAAATTAAGGTAGACATCTAATTGATGACACCTTCCAAGTTTTATAATGTGGGAATAGCTTTGGGTCTCCCTGAATGAGTTCAGTTGTCGTTAACCTCATATAGAAACCTACTTGTCCTAGGCTCGGTTCATAACCGCAACAAGGACATCAAGCCCAATCAATCAATCAAAGTAGAAATCTGGTAAGAAAATATTTGTTTTCCAATACATGCACTGTGTATCTCCGGTGGTGTACTGTTGTGACATCTCCGGTCGTAAGACAGTGCCACATAAATGTAGTGATTAGCATCGTTGGATGTTGGTCTGTTGTGACCTGCACTCTTGGTATTGTAGCTACAACACTTCAAAAAAGGAAAAGTTTCTGTTTTAACCTTTGATAAATTTGACTGATAATGTCATTTAATACAATATTTTAGGGAATAAAAATTTCAATTTTGACGAAACATTTTCTATTACCAAACGGGAAGTATTTCTTGGGTTTAATTATTATAGATGAGGAATAAACAAATGTTGACATATAGAAACATATATGATATAAAAAAACATTCAATATAAAAACCATTAACACGACAAAAATGAAGGTAGACATCTACTTGATGACACCTTCCATGTGTAGGGATTTGTTGAACATGCTATGGTGCTATTTGCATCTTGAACACCTCTTGAAAAAAGTTACGAAATAATCAGCTTAATGTTTTTTTGGGTAAAACTGGTTAGCTTATTGATTTTTTTTGAGACATTTAAACTGACCAATCTCAACTTAAAGACTGATGGAGAATGGTACCAGTGTTTTACAGATTATCATCGAAGAGCTAACTTTAAATTGAAGTCTGTCAATTGTACTATTATGTTTCCACATGATTCAGTTTTGTCTTTAATTAAATACGTTACTCTGAGATCAAAGATATAAAGGATCCCTTAACAGTTTCAAGTCTAGTCATCCGGTATCAACCACAAGGTGGCACATACAGAGACTTGAGAAAATCAAGGGTATAGAAAAAAATGTGTATTAATAGAATAACCATTTGAATTCTGAAGATGAAAAAATTGTACTACCACCAACTGTTGGCTGAATGATACAGGTGGAACATGGCCTCAGGCAGTGGAGTTCCTAAGCCAGTGTCTGATTGGAAGTCTCATTTTTTTTACCTGAACTCTTTTATTAAGCCAGTAGAGTCAAATCAAGATGACATGTAACTTTAAATTGGGCACTGAGCGTGGATACTTACATAGATAGGATCATAGTTAAACGGAGTCAGTGTGACATTTCGTTATCTTCCATTTTATTTATGAAAATTTAAGAGAAACAATTTATTTACATGCTGATATTAGTGTAAACCAAATCATAGTGGAAAATAAGAAATAATAATCCATTTTAAAAATTTATCAAATATAAGAAGCTTTTGATTTCAGAATTTGCATATAATGATTATTTTCTAAGAGAAGCTGTCAAGACTTTCGTTATGACTGTCACTTCTAATGTAAGAATGAGTTGTAATGTTATAGAATACAATTTTGAAAATTTCACTTTCAGTAAAATTTCAAACTGAATCATCAAGATGAAGATAGACAGAAATAAATTGAAAAAGTCTACTACAGAGGTGGTAAGTACAGCTGATACTTTTCTTTTATTGAGCACATTGATTTTCCAATTTTCAACAAGAATCAAGATATTAAAAACTTGACCAATTTCTTGTGGGTTTAAAACATAATCAGTAATACGTTTTATTTTGTGGGAATAGCTTTTGGTCTCCCTGAATGAGTTAGGTTGTCGTTTACCTCAATTAGAAATCTACTTGTCCTATGCTCGTTTATAACCGTAACAAGGACGTCAAGCCCCACCAATCAATCAAAGTAGAAATCTGTTAAGAAAATATTTGTTTTCCAATACATGCACTGTGTATCTCCGGTGGTGTACTGTTGTGACATCTCCGGTCGTAAGACAGTGCCACATAAATGTAGTGATTAGCATCGTTGGATGTTGGTCTGTTGTGACCTGCACTCTTGGTTTTTGTAGCTACAACACTTCAAAAAAAGGAAAAGTTTCTAAAAATTACTAAATATTAGAAATATAGTTTGTTGAAGAAAAAAAATTCAGAAAAAGTATGTTAAGTAATTAGAGTACCCTGATTGTTTTTTTTCGCAGCCTGCAGATTGTCGCGCCCTCATTGAGAAGCTGAAGACTGCTACAGAGGAAACTCTGCTGGAGGAACTGAGGGCAGTGAAAGCCTGGTCTTATGGAAAGGTAGGGTCGTATCAGCATGTTAAAGATCAAAAACACACATGCAAATGTTACGTGTTTCGGAAGTGATAGACCTATTATCTGCTACAATAGAAAAGTATGCTATGTGAAATCGTTCATATGACTTGTTTCAAACTTTGTTGTGAAAAACATATCAAGGGGAGATATTTAAAGTGGTATTTCTACTAATGTAAAAATTTAAATGCAAACTGAGGGAAACTTAGAGATGACATTTTGAAGTATAAAGTGTTTTTATAAAAAAAATCTGGAAATGATAATCTAATCATTTAAGAGAAGGAAGGAAATACTGGTGATAACATTTGTGTTGTAATGTATTTTTGAAGTGATAGAAAGAAGCCTTTGAGATGACGTTTGTCCTTTTGTATTGGTGTAGTGTGAGTTATATCACTGGTCAGATGTCCTGGACAAGTTTGATGAAGTCCTGGAAAAGGCGTGCAAGAAGGAGGGGGAGAAGAAATGGATGCTGTCATGTGACAGAACTGGCGAGATACAGGTTTGTGCATTTATAAAAGATTGTTTTGTTAAAGATTTTTGTTTGTTTTTTTAACTGATATTTGGAACTATACTTACAAAGTACTGTGTATGTTCAGTGGTGTCTTGTGACAACTCCAGTTGTAAAACAATGCCTTAGAAATGTACTAATTATCAATGATGGATGTGTGTAACTGTAATATATTGTTTTTTATTTCCCGTATTTGTTGTAATGCATCTTTGTCTGAATGTTTTCTTCGGTGCAGCTTAAAGACCTACTGTTGGTGATTCTGCACTTCACGTCTCTGCTGATCGAACACAGTTTTTCGCGTCACCTTTACAACTCGATGGAACACCTGACCAGCTTGTTGTCCTCATCTGATATGACAGTCGTCCTGGCAGTATTGAATCTCTTATATGTTTTCAGGTAAGAAGATTGTTGCTTAAGATAATCCCGCTGGAGTTCTTGATTAATGTTACCGCACCAGTGTTAGATTTATACATCTCATTTAGTTTGTACTCTTGTACTTGTGTTGTGATTTTGTTTGAACCAAATGGACATTATTTACTGTTGATATGTCCCACCATATTGTGATGTCAGCAACAAAAAACTGCAAAAAATGTGTGAGATTAGAATTCTTTGTTACTTTCACATATAAAGAAAAAAAAGGAGAATACCAAAAAATGTCTTGGCTTGTGTATGCTTGGTTCTTTGGCAGAATCATCATGTTAAAACTGTCTGATTGCACTGTGTATCTCCGGTGGTGTACTGTTGTGACATCTCCGGTCGTAAGACAGTGCCACATAAATGTAGTGATTAGCATCGTTGGATGTTGGTCTGTCATGATCAGCAATCTTGGTATTGTAGCTACAACATAACTTTTGTAACTTCTAAATAATACCAAACTGACAAATCTCATTCTGAATAAAAAAAAGGGTTTTCTTAGACACTTTATCCAGTGTGTTCAAACAACAAAAGCTATTGGAATGGGTAACCCATATTATATAAACTGGGGTTTATTTTATAAGTTTCAAAACATATGCTATTGAATCCATACTATTTTCTAACAAATACAGTCAATGTACTTAGTCTGATAAGGTTAGGAAATGCATTTAGAGTGCCAAGCCGACTGTTGTTAAAGGACCTCCATACTTTGAGGAAATGACTGCTGAACTTGCAAACTTCCTGAGATGTTTGATGAAGTTTTTTTGGAATGTTTGAAGGAAAAAAAGCAGTCTTTTTGATGCCATACATATATTCTCGTGTATGCATATACAAGGATAGCTATCAGAGGTTCTGGAATATTTTTTTCTGCAGCAAAAGGTCAAACCACATAACTCGACTGAGCAGTGATAAGAAACAAGGCCTGATTGTGAGACTGACTCACTTAGCTGAGGTGAGTAATGACTTAAAATTTGTTAATTGTATTTATGGAAAATTATTTAAAAGAAATTGACTAGACAAATTGTACTTCAAAATTTCAAAAAGTAGGTTTCTATGTTTACAGAAATTAGTTTTGCTTTAGTGAGTAATACTATTAATTAATCATTTGTTCCTTTTATAGTTCTGACTCTTAATTCAAGGTGCTTATGCACTATGCAATTTATTTTGAATCATATGATCATTTAATTGTCTTTCTTTTATTTCTGGTAGAGCTGGGGTGGTAAAGACAATGGTTTTGGCCTTTCTGAGTGTTGCAGTAACGACACTATCTATGTAAGTGTTTAGTATACGATTTACCTCTCACTGTCTGGTAAGATTTTTAAAATCATCAAAAATTATTGGTTTCATTTTGTTTTCCAATGGTTTAATAGTTTGAAAGATATTGTTTATCGTTTGAAAGATATTGTCACGAATTGGAAAGAACTCTTGTTAAGATTTTATAGGTGATGGAAGATGTTCTGTGGGTGAAGATTACACAGCATTATGATTTCTATCGCCTAATTATCACTGGTTTTAAATAGTGTTAAAAGATTATGGTGATGGAAGATCTTGGTAAGAGATAAGTTCTGTTTGTTGGTTTCAGAATTTTCCTACCAGTGCAACAACATTGCACTTTGAATTTTATGTGGACAATAAAGAAGAGAAGGGCAGGAAGGTTTGTACATAATTTATTTCTGGCCATTTGGACATCTCTATTAAAGAATTTGGTCTTGGCTAAATGAGTTCTGTTTGTACTCACTAGTCTGGTAGTTTATTGCCTGATTTTGAGGCTGACTTTCAGCCCTGTTACCAGTTGCATATTGAGGTGGGGTTTTTTCACAAATAAAAACTTGAAAAGCTTGTGGTGTATGTTTAAATGTTAAAGTATTGAGGTCAAAAAATCTTTTTTAAATAAAGTGCAATGTATTTATTGTCCTTTAAATGGCATTATGACAGAGAAAAAAAGAAGACTTTATTAGATAGACATAATTCCCAATTTGGAAATAGCTACATAGATTTGCTTCATTTTCCAAACTCCAAAAGCCCACGGTCTATCTATTTGCACTGGTGAGTGGGATGGTAGCCTATGTTATATCAGGTATAGGTTGACTCCACTTCATACTGTTTTGTTTGCTTTCAGGGAACGGCTAATGTCATTACCTCTATACACATGGAAAACTTGGACAAGTCGATAAAAATGCCCTCTGAAATTATGGAAGAAATTCTTGAGAATTTCAAAGTTCCCGAAGAAAAACAGGTCAGTATATCAGAAAGATCAGTTAATCTTTTCTTTTGTGTTTTCATATAAACATTTCTCATGTGTTAGTGGTTTATTAGCTCACCTGCCCGAAGGAAGTGAGCTAATGTCGTGGTGCGGTGTCCGTCCGTCCGTCCGTGTCCGTCCCCGTCCGTCCGTCCTCGTCCGTCAACTTTTCCTTTAAACAACTTCTTCTGAAGAACGAACAGGCCTAGAGTCATGATATTTGGCTGAAAGCTTTGTTGGTAGGGGCCCTACAAAGTTTGAGAACGAAAATGACCTTGACCTACTTTAAAGGTTACAGGGGTCAAATATGTCAAAAACTTCAAGCGACTTCTTCTGAAGAACTAAAAGGTATAGAATTTTCATATTTGGCTGGTGACTTCCTGGGATGGAGCCCAACAAAGTTTGAGAATGAAAATTACCTTGACATACTTTCAAGGTCACAGGGGTCAAATGTGTCAAAAGCTTCAAATGACTTCTACTGAAGAACTGAAAGGTCTAGAATATTTAAATTTTGCTGGTTGCTTCCTGGGATAGAGCCCAACAAAGATTGAGGAAGAAAATTAGTTTAACCTACTTTCAAGGTCACAGGAGTCAAATATATCAAAAACTTCAAACGACTTCTTCTGATGAACTAAAAGGTATAGAATCTTCATATTTGGCTGATTGGTTCCTGGGATGGAGCCCAACAAAGTTTAAGAATGAAAATTACTTTGTTCTACTTTCAAGGTCACAGGAGTCAAATGTGTCAAAAGCTTCAAATGACTTCTTCTGAAGAACTGAAAGGTATAGAATCTTTATATTTGATTGATGGCTTCCCGGGATAGAGCCCGACAAAGTTTGAGGAAGAAAATGACCTTGACCTTCTTTCAAGGTCACAGGGGTCAAATGTGTCAGACACTTGAAACGACTTCTTCTGAACAACTGAAAAGTATAGAATCTTCATATTTGGCTTGTAGCTTCCTAGGAAAGAGCCCAACAAAGTTTGAGAATGAAAATGACCTTGACCTACTTTTAAGGTCACATGAGGCAGATATGTCAAACACTTCAAATGACTTCTGAAGAAGAACTGGAAGTTATAGAACCTTAATATTCTGCTGGTTATTTCCTGGGAAAGAGCCCAACAAAGTTTACGAATGAAAATGACCTTGACCTACTTTCAAGGTCACTGAGGTCAACAACATTTTAATGGATTTGTTCTTAAGAACTAAAAGGAATGGATTCATGTGATTTGGCTGGTAGCTTTTGGAATAGAGCTTACCAATTTGAGAAGGAAAATGACATTGACCTACTAACAAGGTCACAGGGAAAAATATGTCAAGAAACTTCTGAAGAATCAAAAAGCATAGAATCTTGTAATAATATTTTGCTGGTAGTTTCAACAGATGGAGCCAACAAAGTTTGCGCGGGAAATATTTTTAGTGCAATATAATATTTAATGAGAATATTTTGCTATGACTGCTTAAATATTCAGGTGAGCGATACAGGCCCTCTTGGGCCTCTTGTTTTTTTGGTGTTTTTCAGCTGTTTGACTGTTCTATTTATTTTTTGTTGTAGATGTTGCTATATACTCATATACGTTTGGCCAACCTGTTTTCCAAGTACGAGGCCAGACTACAATGTGTGCAGGCTAGACTGCAGGCAATGGCTATTCTGGGTGAGACTTTAACTTTTTCTATGTTCGTAGCTCATTTGCACTTAAATATAATTCAGTTTATAAAAACCTGCTTGTTCGTAGCTCATTTACACATAAATATAATTCAGTTTATAAAAACCTGCTTGTTCGTAGCTCATTTACACTTTGATATAATTCAGTTTATAAAACCTGCAATCCATAGTATCTTGATATAAGAGATTCATTTAGGCATGTAAAAAATAAAAATTCAAACTGAAATTGCCTTCAAAATTATGCTTGATAATAATCTGAAATGCTTCAATGCTACAGAGGTGTTTAACTTTTTTGCCTGGTTTACTATAAAATGTGGACATGCCTTTGTGTTTGCAGTCTATTCCAATGCCATTCAAGACAACATGAATGCTCTGCTGTACCCAGGTCTGATAGAGGAACTAGTGGATATTATAGAACTCAAAGATGAAAACCTGGTGGTATGTTAATTGTAGACTTGACAAGTCTTTTCATCATGCAGTACTCTAAGCACCTATGTAGAGCTAGATACAGGTTTTTGTCTCATTGGGTATGAAGCATTGATTCATCTGGTATAGCACCAAAGGAAATATTAGCTAAGACAATTTTTGGCATGCATCCATTCAGAATGGTTAAGAATTCAGAAGGGTTAAGATTTTGTCAGCAAAACGTCACAATTAGGATTTGTTAGCAAAAACAAGGAATAATCAGTGATAAATCTATATACGAGTCTAAAGTCCTTTACTCATAGAATTTTGATGGGACTTGTAGAATTTCTGGAAATACTGAAATTTAACATTGTGGGACCCATTGCTTTTAGCAGTGAAAAGGATTCATGAATAAATTTGTTTGCATTCTTCAAAGGAGAGAAATGTCTCATTTCAATCATTTAAGTAAGAAATGTAATAATTTGTATATATATTATCAGGAAATTAAAGCAGCTTCCCTGAGAACGCTTACATCCATTATTCACCTGGAGAGAAATCCAAAGTAAGTGTATGTGTTGTAACTGTTAGGAATATAACTGTCAGCTGATATTTCTTGATGATTGAGCTTGTTTGAGTTCATGGACAAGCTGAAGAAAACACTTTATAAATGATTGGAAAATAAAATCATGTTAACATTTCTACACTTAAAATGAATACAAAAGTTTTGTTTTTTGTGAGATTTTATTTGATGTTGGTCTTCTTTTGCAGGCTGAACAACATAATAGATGCTACTGGTGCATCATCATACCACGGTTTTCTGCCAGTGCTTGTACGCTCCTGTATACAACACATGACAGGTAAGCTAAAATGAGTCATTGTTTTAGTTGTCATTTTGTCATATTAATAAAATAGCATATAATTTAAGAATGTTTTGTCCACGACAAATCCTTTTAAACAAGAAATGCATCCATATTTTGTAACAGTTGGAAGAAGGTTGGTATCTTAACATAATACATGTAGCATTAGGTAGTATATTACATATAGTGACTGAAGTGGGGTTTGTTGTCTGACAATACATACAGAAAATACTCTGATGATCCTCCAGTGTAGAAAGAATGTCTCCAGGAGAGAAAACACATTACAGTGATATTGTTACCAACCTTGATCCGAACTCGTGCTGTTAAGGAAATCAACCTTCTTATAAATTTTGAATATGGCAAACTTGTTTTGAAGGACCCCTGGGGTTTAATGGACGTTTTTGTCTAGAAATTCTTTTTAACTTGAAATTCCCTTACCATGTCCATTCATGGTGCTAGCCAGGATTTATCAAAGTAGATGAAGTTGATTTAGAAACTACCTAGTAATGCTGTGACATGTATCATTCATCCACTGACGTTTTCTTTCCAGACACCCTGTTAAAGCCGTTCCCACAGCCCTATGCCACGGCCCTGTTCTCATTTTTATATCACCTGGCCAGTTACGAAAATGGTAAGCTACCATCTGAGTGTTCTTGTCGAGGAAAAGATGTGGTATCAGCAGCTGAAATTCTTTCTACCGATTTTAACTGTATGCTGCAGTTTTGACATCAGCTTGTTCTAGTGCATGTTTGTAGATATTCTAAATCATTAATTGATATATTTATGTTGATCAAATTGGATGTTTTAATATGAACACTGCAAACATATATTAAAATGTTGATGATACTGTTACCCAACTTTCCAGTGATGAATATATCAAAGACAAGCATATGTCATAATATCCTTGATGATATATTGATAGAGACTGAGGAAAGGTTGGATAACTACATTTTAAAATATCCGGATATTTTGAATTTTTCTTTGTTGTGCAATCAATTTGATCTCATGTGTGCTATAAGAAAGTTAGTGCATACAGGTAAACTTTTTCTAGTAGTGAAATAAAAAAAATGAATGTGCAGGTAAATCGGATGTTAATGAAATAGTGATAAAGGTAGATATGCGATTTTGATACAGGCCTACAAGTAAATTGAAGGGAAAACAAGTTGTACAGGTAAATTTATAAGCATTGAAATGGATATAAAAATAAATGCAGTGATGTATGTAAAATTGTAAATGTTGGGCAAAAAAAAAAGATAAGTGGTTCTCAGGCCCGCGCACATTTTTTTTACCAAAGGCATTGCCGATTTTATCGTGAAAGTATTAAAAAAAAATGTGAATGCGCCAGCCGCAGTCTTTAAAAAAAATCCGGAAATTTTGCATGTCTTTTTTACTTGTTAGTCACCCAAGTCCCAAAAACGTTTGAATAAAGATCAGGATTGATAAACAGGCAAGCACTAAAATGATTACGACTTATTAGTCTTGTGTACAAATGGCGCTCATTGCGGTACAATTAAGGAATGGGGGGTTCGTGATTCTCATCTGGAACATCGTGGTGGGGGGGGGGGGGGGTTCGGAGGCTTGCTCTATGACAGGTCGCTACACAACTATAAAAAGACAATGTAATGCCCACAATGAACGTTTTACAAACTACACAATAAAAAAAAATATTGCCCTCGTCTCGTTTTTGCCATGTAAAATGGAGAAAAAAAATACCTCTCTGCCGCATCTCTTTTGAAAAAAATTGGCCTGAGAACCAAGTAATTTATTTTATTTGGCCTTACCAAATTAGTTAAATGGTATGTAAATGTTGAGTGTGGTATTTACAGGTGTGGAGGCCCTGGTGTCCTGTGGGATGATGGAGTGTTTACTGAAGGTGATCAGCTGGTATGGCAACGGTCAGGATCACATCACGGTAAGTCTCTTGTCCACAACATTATATACATAGTTAGTGTCTACTTTTACATACTCTTTTGTAATTAACTAGTACAGTTGATTTAGAACGCTGTCTTTCTTTCTTGGGTGGTTTATAAAATTTGGGATTTTTATGTCTCCCAGGGCCCCCGTTTGCCCCTGAGGAGGGGGTGAAATTTAGTATAGTATATACAGGAAATAGACATGATGGGCCATATCTTCCATTGTTTTGAAAATAATTTGTTCATATTAATTGGTGAGTATGACCCCCCCCCCTAGGTAGCATATAGGGGTGGGGCTCTGTTTTAAGTTTGTTCTTGCTATATCTCAAGTACTGGATGGGTCTTTCTGAAATTTCATATGTACTTACAGCACCTACTTCATACCAATTGACATGTTTGACCTCGAGCCCAAGTGCTGAAATAAAGGTTTTCCGCAGCATATCTCAGCCACCTTTTCATTAACTTTCTAGATATGTGGGGAGCTGGGGTATTCATGAAGCCCACTCTTCGAGTTGAATCTAATTTCTGCCACTTATATTGTGATTTTCTGGATGTTGCAGCAATTTGTAACGAGAGCTGTGCGTGTAGTAGACTTAATTACCAATCTGGACATGGCCGCCTTCCAGACACAGGGCGGTCTATCAACCTTCCTCAACAGACTAGAAGTAAGTAGAGATCTGTTTTTGTTTTGTATTATGGACACAATTCAGATCTAGTTAAGGATTATTTCAGCAAAAATGTCAATAATGATGTATGAAATGCAACATTGCAGATGTTGAAATTTGCTGTACAAGATAAGATCTATATACTTCAATTATTTAAACATTTTCTGGAAGAAAGTTATCTGAAGGAGGGTTCAAGATACAGTTTTAACTTGAATGTATTATTTCAGCACGAGGTGGAGATCTGTAGGAAGGAGAACCCATTTCAGATCCGAATTAAACGTGACTCTATGAGTGAGAGTCAGGACTCTCCCCTCGCTATGGAGATGGACTTGCATGGTGAGGAGGGCAGAGAGGGTACCATTGACGAGGAGTCTGTTGTCCATGATGAATCAAGGGTCAACGAAGGTGCATCTACCTCCACTGGCATGGCGTACACAGTTTCTTCTCCACCAAAAAATGGTAGGGCACCTTAAAATTATTTGTGATAAATTTATTTGGCTCAAAAAGGAATGCTATATATTAATGCCACAAAGATTAGCAATGCAAAGTGTTTTTGATACTGCAGTATGAAAACCATATGCACAGATATCTGATTTTGTTTTGTTTTTTACGTAGGAGTCCAGTGTTTCCCTCAAAGAGCTGCCCTGCTGAAGTCCATGTTAAATTTCCTTAAAAAAGCAATCCCAGATTCATCATTTTCGGAAAGTATTCGACATTGTAAGTAGAAATATTGTGCTGTTTTACTAAACTTGACACATGAAATTTTAACTCCATTCTGTTTGTTATTTCAAGCTGTAAGTGAACTAGGACAAGTTGATAAAAAAACCTTGAATTCTTAATTACAAAGGATGAATGTCTATAAGGCTCTGTTTTGGGCCCCGGTATATTCAGATTTTCACCTCAATTTGTTCAAGGATGTCCTATTTTATTACATGTGCAAAAACTAAGGGTAAAATTTGACTGAAAGTGGGTTTTTGGGGTACCAAAAGGGGTAGGGTAAATCGCAAATATAATTTGCTGTTTTTAAAAGCATGTGTAAATTGAACAGGCATAATAAATTGTCAATTAAAGATTGCTTATATAAAACTGGGGATTAAGCCAGGGGGCATTGTTTACGGTAATTTTTCAAATAAAACGTTTGTTTTCTCAATAATTTCCTTTCTAATTTATATTTCGGGTTAAAATTTACAACTTTACTCATTTGAGTACACTTACATAATATGCATATTCACTACACACTTTCCTTTTGTTTTATACTGAATTATGGCTTTTGGACCCATCTCAAAGTTGGCAATTTTAAATATCTGTCAATTAAAAGGTGCAGGAAATAGTAGAAGATATGAATAGTTGATATTGTATATTATATACATCATATAATATATGTTCAACTAGGCCCTGCAGGTAGGGCGTAAGAATTGTACCTGCTGCCCCCATTGCATGATCGTAAGAGGCGACTAAATTTGGGATCTTATCTTTTCTCTTCTTTCTAAACAACTTTCTTCTTCCTAATGTTCCCCTGGACAATGCCTCACTTTTGGCCTTTAGTTGAGTGTTGGCCCCTTTGAGAAAGCCTTTGGGTTCTGTCCCCTGGCCCAGACATACCAGAGTCTTCAGAGTGTCTTAGGCAGTATGTTTCAGTGAGGTAGCACTATAAAGTCAGCATCAGATCCGCACTATTACAAGGAGACAAACACGAACATATCGCAGCCTCCCAAAACACACATGTATACACTACAAGCATGCATCTTGCACACAGGGAAGGCCGTCCTTAAATGACCATAGCTGTTGATAGGACGTTAAACAATACTAAACCAAACCAAACCAATCAACACCAGTGGCTGAAGTGAGTTCCAAGTCCGGATTTGTTTTCTTATCAAAGTTAACTCAATACAAATAAAAAAACTGGCATTTGCCACCACAGCTACTGTAAAATGATTAATTTAATATATGAAGTTTGATTTGCTGATAGTTTTTAGTCTCCTAGCCTCAAGGAAAGTATCTGTTTTAATCGTTACAGTTAACCCACTTCATTGTCTTATCATTTGTTCTGTTTACTTTCAATACTAAGGGCTAATTGTACATAAAAGGCATTTTGGGATAAGCATGCTTGGTATAGATATTAGTTATATGATGATATTTAATTTGTGAAAGTTTCATACTTATCCCACAATACCTTTTTACTTAAATAACACTTTTCTTGTGGTTTTGAGTACAAAGACTAAAGTGCATCTCGGATAAAAAGTTTTGAATATCAAAGAGATGGTGATCCAGATAAACGTACATGTTTTTTGGCAAAACATTTACCATATAGAGAATAAAGGTAATGTGACTGGTTCTGAACAAGGAAAGTAATATTTTTAGTTATCAATAGAGTAAAAATCATTTGTTCAATATGACCCTCTTGAGAGTGAATTTTCTTGACTATCAGGTTAGCAGTATTTGTTAAATTAATGTGATCTATTGTCCCAAGACATTTTCTGGTGTCTAAACATGAAGAATTTACAAAATTATTTTGGTTTTGTTTAAAATTGTTAAGTTTTTCGATACCACAGTAGGTGGCACATGCACTGGAATCATTGTAAATCTTCTCCAGTAACTAGGAGTGAAAGGTTCCAGACAAAGTAAATATAGTAGCAAACTTAAGCACTGGGTTTTTGTTGAGATTCTGTGTCAGAAGTATGATAATGTATACATCTTCCTGATTGTGTCTCTCTTGTTGCTTTGACAGTAATGGAAGGATCTCTGCCCAAGTCTCTCCAGCACATCATCAGCAATGCTGAGTATTATGGGCCCTCCTTGTTCCTTCTGGGTAAGTCTAACATCAGGAGTGTGCATTATAAAGACTTGTCAATGTTATGTTAGTGCTGAATTCCTTTGTTATTTGAATTTTCAGCTATTTGGTCCACAAATGTTTTCTTCTACCATGTATGTGTTTGTTGTGATACTTCTATATAATACTTAGAATTAAGTATACATTCAACAGAACAATCAATAAATAAATGACATGAACTTATTATCTGATCTATTTGAGGTTTCAAATTTAGTCAGCAAAACATAAGTCCTTGGAGTAGGAGCAGATCTTGGTAATTTCTGTAATGAAAGAATGAAAGTGTCAGCATCAGGTAATATATTCTCAAGTTTGCTTTTCCTTACAGCCACGGATGTTGTGACTGTGTATGTGTTCCAGGAGCCATCCCTTCTGTCCTCGCTACAGGACAGTGGACTAACGGATGTCGTGCTCCACGCTTTACTTATCAAGGATGTAAGTAGACTTTCAATGTTGTCAGAAAAAAATTAAAATAGTCCACTATCACGAATCAAAACTGACTAAAGCGTCTGTAAAGCCATGATAAGGACCATATAATCCTGTGAAACAAATACAAATCTGGTTCGTTACAAGATATTTTTATGAAATTCAGAAAAACTCAATTTCATCAGTAATACATGTCTATGTCATTGACAGGTACCAGCAACTCGAGAGGTGTTGGCGTCTCTGCCCAATGTGTTCAGTGCCCTGTGTTTAAACACGCGTGGCCTAGAGGCATTTGTCAACTGTAAGCCATTTGACAGGTTATTCAAGGTGCTGCTGTCGCCAGATTACCTCCCCGCTATGAGGAGGAGACGCAGCTCTGACCCCTTTGGTGAGTATCACTCACATTGCTAATCTTTTTGGGGGGAGGGGGGAGGAAAGTAACTCATATTTTTATAAAATCTCTAAAAATAAATGGTATAGAGAATTTGATAAATATTTTCCTGTTTGACAGGTGACACAGCCAGCAATCTAGGAAATGCCATGGACGAGCTGATGAGACATCAGCCTTCATTGAGGACTGACGCCACCAAGGCCATCATTAAGGTAGGACTGGTGTAGCTTTGCTTTAAGAAACCCTTGTGAGCCTTTCCAATTAACCTCGGGTTAAAGAAATGCATGTTACTCATAAGTAAAAATAGCTTGTTCAAACAGGTCTGATTTAGTGGATACAGTGTAGTATGAAAAGAGTATGTTTGCCAGTAAATAAGCTGATGATGAACAAATTTAACTGGTTCAGTTTATGATAATCAATAATAGAAAAAAATGTTCTTGGAAGTACTTAAAAAGCACTGTGTATCTCCGGTGGTGTACTGTTGTGACATCTCCGGTCGTAAGACAGTGCCACATAAATGTAGTGATTAGCATCGTTGGATGTTGGTCTGTTGTGACCTGCACTCTTGGTATCGTAGCTACAACAGTGATGTTCAGTTTTTAAAAATAATGATGTGTATGGTATTAATTATTAGCTCACCGGGTCCGAAGGACCAAGGTGAGCTTATGCCATACCGTGGCGTCCGGCGTCTGTCCGTCAACAATTTCTTTAAACGACTTCTTCTTCTTAACCACTGATTGGAATTTAACTAAATTTGACTGGAAGCATCCCTAGGTGGTGGGGATTCAAAATTGTACAAATGGTGGGGCTGACCCCCCAGGGGGCTGAGGGGGAGGGCAAAAAGGGGGCAATTTGGCTATATTGCTTTAAGCGACATCTCCTTTGGAACTAAGAGATGCATATCAACCATATTTGACTGGAAGCATCCCTAGGTGGTGTGGATTCAAAATTGTACAAATGGTTGGGCTGACCCCCCCGGGGAGCTGAGTGGCGGGGCCAAAAGGGGGCATTTTGGCTATATTGCTACAAACGACTTCTGTAGAACTAAGCACTGGATATCAATCATATTTAATCAGAAGCATTCATGGGAGGCAGGGATTCAAAATTGTACAAACAGTGTGGCTGACCCCCGTGGCGGCTAAGGGGCGGGGCCGAAAAGGGTTATTTAGCTATATTACCTTAAGCGACTTCTTCTCTGGACCTAACAGATAGATATCAACCATATTTGACTGGAAGCATCCCTAGGTGGTGTGGATTCAAAATTGTACAAATGGTGGGGCTGACCCCCCGGGCTAAGGGGTGGGGCCAAAAAATAATATTACTTGGAAATGGTTGAGATCCCCACCATATAACCATATATACAATTGCTGAGTATAAAGAGAGGAATGCACATTTGCTTCCAGGATGGCCCTAGAGTCTGGCCCCACCCTTGGAGACTTAACCCCTGGGGCATAACTTTGAAACGGTTAAGATCCCCACCCCAAACCTATATATACAATTGTTGGGCATAAAGAAACGAATGCAGTCATGATATTAGAATTGATCCTGGGGTCTGGCCACAACCCTAGGGACCTAGTTTCTGAGTCACAGCTTGGAAACAGTTGAGATCCCCACCCCATAGCCATACATAAAATTGCTGGGCATAAAAAATCAACTACAGATATGCTAAAAGGATTGGCCTTGGGGTCTGGCATATTCCCTTGGATCTCATTTGGAGAATATTTTGCCATGATTGCATAGATATCAGGTGAGCGATACAGGCCCTCTGGGCCTCTTGTTAGCAATGGCTTCAGAGACAATACAATGTTCATTATTTTGGAGCAGTAAGGGAAAATAAGACATTTGGGTAAAAAAAATGTAAAAAAATAATACTCTTTGTGTTGACAGCTACTTGAAGAAATCTGTGCCATGGGAATGGACCCAAAGTGTGTTTGCCAGAAGTCTCAGCCAAAGAATGAGCCTAATATTGTCTCCATCCGCTCCCCTCAGCCCCCAGACAATGGATCTTCTGATGAAGAGGACGAGGAGGAGGAGCTGGCTAACACCCAGGACTCCGCTACAACTGCTAACAAACCCCCCACGCCCACTGAGACTCCCGCTGACACCAGCAGTCAGTGAGTTAACGTAGTACTGACTTACAATGCCGCATTATTTTTGTTATATTAATGTCACTAAATCTTTTGTGTGTTTATTTTAAATGTACAAAGTTTTAATAGAGTGGTAAAATGTTGACAAAATACCAAAAACCGTTTGTCATTGGTGGGATCAGGGTCTTCAGTTTTGCTATGTTAAATTTTACATTATTTATTTGAATTTTGTTAAGTCTTGCTGCTTTTTCAGGTAAAAGTTAAATGTTTGCACTGTGTATCTCCGGTGGTGTACTGTTGTGACATCTCCGGTCGTAAGACAGTGCCATATAAATGTAGTGATTAGTATCGTTGGATGTTGGTCTGTTGTGATCAGCTCTCTTGGTATCATATCTACTCCACAACATCAATATTCTTGTTAGCTTGACAAGATTTAATGCATAAAGCATGTACAAATTTTCTTTGAAAAAACATTGACTAAACTTATATTTTTGATTGAAGGTCAATGACACCTGCTTCCCAAGAAAAGCAAGCCATACCTTTGATGGACTACGTACTGAATGTGGTAAGTGTTTCTCATTTCTGTTCTCTAGCTGTTTAAAATTAAACTACTTATTTTCTATGTTACAAATATCTTCATTTATATTTTTAGCTCACCTGGCCCCTGGCCCAAAGGGCCATGTGAGCTTATGCCGTACTGGGGCGTCTGTCGTCCGTCCGTCAACTTTTTCTTTTGAACGACTTCTTCTGAAGAACTGTAGGACCTAGGGTCGTGATATTTGGTCAGTAGGTACCTGGGATGGAGTGCTATAAAGTTTCCTCATTAAAATGACCTTGACCTACTTTCAAGGTCACAGCGGTCAAATATGTGAAAGATTTCAAACAACAATATCCTAAGAACCGTTTGAACTACAGTCATGATACTTGGGTATGTTATGTAGACCAGCAGTGCGAATATTTTTTTCAGTTACAGTTATGAGGTCAAAGGTCAACTTTAAATGCTAGTCGGGGTTCAAATGTCAACTTTGGTTAAAAGCTTCAACAATCTTCATTAAAATGACCTTGACTGTTTCTGTCAATGGTACATGTGATGTCCATGTTTGTCCTTCAGATGAAGTTTGTGGAGGCCATCCTAAGTAACAACTCGACAGACGATCATTGCCGCGAGTTTGTCACACAGAAAGGGCTGCAGCCTCTCATGTCAATACTGGGGTTGCCTAATCTTCCAATAGACTTCCCCACCTCCCCTGCTTGTCAAGCTGTCTCCATTGTGTGCAAATCTATTCTAGTGAGTACAACAAAATTCCTTGAAACTTTTCCATTTCTGAAAAGCATTTGAAATATTGCAAAAGTACATAAATACTTCATACAAATATTAAGAAAATAAATGAGGTTTCTACTACGATATTTCAATTTGTAGTAACAAGATTCTGACTTTAACTTGCTAATGAATTTAGAATTAGGGTCAAAAGCAATGGTAGGGAAAAGAAGTTATTTCTTTGCTTATAAATTGTAATGATTTTAGAACTTCAATTAGACTCTGATGTGATTATTCATTTAAATACTCTTATATAGTTTAAAAATGATAAAGTCCAAACATAAATAGAACATCACCTGATGTGTCTGTCCATTGTGTGTGAGGAGTAATGCTTATTGTTTTTTTGTACAGAATTTGTCACGGGAGCCCCAGGTGCTGAAGCAGGGCCTACTAAAGCTGGACGAAGTGTTACAAAGTCTGGAGACACTACATCAGCCTCTTGAGGCTCCTGGAGGATCTGTCCTCCTACGTGAACTTGCAAACGTAGCCCACATACCAGACGCTGCTCAGTTACCCCAGAACACCCCTCTTCTTCATGCTCTATCCTCCTGCCATGCATACATCCTCATGTTTGTACATGTCTGTCGGATGGGACAGGTAAATTTGAATAATTACAGTATTAAAAAGTATGATAATTTCTAAAGAACAAATGAATTTACTTCCCTATGGTTCAAAGATGGTTCAATTTTGATATAGAAATAATAATAGATATAATTAAAAGGGCTGTATTTGCACTCTGAAACGATCATTGAGAAACACCTCACTTTTCTCTGTGAAAAAAATAAGTGCAAAATGAAAAAAAATGTGTCTTGATATCAAGGTGACAATTTTCTAGTTGACATCTTTCAAGACTATTTTGACATGATAATTGAAGTTGCATTTGCTTATATGCCGTTAGTAAACCAAATTGCAGTATATGAGACTGTATACTACAATTTACAGTGATACGGCCAGTGTAGGAATACAGCTGGTACAAGGTAAACGTTCAGCGCCGCATCACTTCAAAATACATGTAATCTATCAATGCGCGAAAAACAGCTTTAATTTTAAACAAGCAGAAGTTATGCAATTGTTGACAATTTTTCAACATATACACACTCATATGAAATAAATGATAAAGTTAAGTTTGTGTTCAAACCATTTTATGTGCGTGTGGTTTTATAATGACACGAGGGACTATATTATTTCTTCTGGAAATGTCGTCTGTTCTGGGATTTGAACTTACTGATGTCACTGATATGATAAGCGGGAAATTCAAACGTATTTTTGCTTCAGTTACTATACAAAACAAACTATATACATGTAAATGTAAATATAAGCATTGAACTGTTACCAGATGCAGTATACAGTCGATATGAATGCAATTTTGGTGACAGATAAATAGAATGTCGCCCGACTGTATACTGCATCTGGTAACAGTTCAATGCGTAAGTATTTGCACTCTGAAACGATCATTGAGAAACACCTCACTATTCTCTGTGAAAAAAATAAGTGCAAAATGAAAAAAAATGTGTCTTGATATCAAGGTGACAATTTTCTAGTTGACATCTTTCAAGACTATTTTGACATGATAATTGAAGTTCCACTGCTTTGATATAAATGCCTTACGTATTTGAGAAACGGATATATGCAATTCCTGTAAAATAATAACTGTAAATTTGTCCTGGAAAATAAACACAAATTGACACAAAATTATTTTCATTAAGCTATTTTGTATCCAATAGATAAGTATGGTGATTTTTGTTGCAGACGGACATTCGCACAATCTCTGTGAACCACTGGGGGTCGGATCTAGGCTTGAAGGTTTTAGAGGGCCTGAGTAAGCTGTACACATCACTGGTGTGGGAGAGCACTGTGCTGCTGGCTCTGTGTAATGATGATGTGCTGCCTGCCAGCTGTGAGTTTGGTAAGGCAGATATGGAGAAACTACTCCCCAAGGACTTTAAGGCTGAAAAAGACATCAAAGAGGAGAGTGCCAATCTTACTCACAGTACTGGTGAACTGGGTAGTAATGGGGTTAGTGCTGCCATGGAGTCTCTGTCAACGTCAGAGAGCACAGAAACTCCCATGGATGTTGGCGACGTGCAATCACTGTCCACATCTTCAGATAAAGAGAGTAAACGCCCAAAAATGTCCCCAGCACTGCAGGCACAAGTGAAACAATTGAAACCTCTATTATCTGTGTCGTCTCGTTTGTGTCGTGCCCTTGCTGAACTGTTTGGTTTGTTGGTGAAATTGTGTGTTGGTAGTCCTGTGCGACAAAGGCGGAGTCACCAGATCCCTCCACCACCCACCACACCTTCCCCTGCTGCCCAGTCAGTGGCTCGAGCACTCACCAGACTGCTGACCAATGGTCTTCAATGGACCCCACCGGAATATTCTCCAGTACCCAAACTCAGGTAAGGACTCCACCAGAATAATCCTGTTACCAAAACTTGGGACATGACCCATTCAAATACTTCCTTTGGTCTAAACTTTGGTAAAGAAACCACCTGAATACTCCTGAAACCAAAATTCAGACCCTACCTGAATTCTTTTGTGTTCCCAAACTAGGGTAAAAAAAACAAAAACACCTGAATACTCCATGTACGACAGTTGGTAAGGTCGTAACTGGCTTCCTAGAGGTGGTCTCTGAATACAGGTTTGACTATGTGCTATTATAACCTTCCTTGATGTAAAGTGCAGAAGACTAAGTGATGCTTGTTGTTATTTTAGATTAACATTTCTGGTGTGCTCTGTTGGCTTCACGTCCCCAATGTTGTTTGACGAGAAGAAACAACCATACCACCTGATGCTACAGAAGTTTGTCTCCTCGGGAGGACAGAAGGCACTGTTTGAGTTAGTATCGGTTACTTTCAGTTTCAATAAGGCGTAGTATGAAGTGATATGTCTCTTTACTGTCATTGTAAATAATGGCTCATGCATAGTGAAACAGTGATAATAGAGTTTTAACAAACTTTTCACAATAGATTTAAAAGTGATATCAAAATTTTCAGGTAATGTTGGCTTTTTGAAGAATAGTCAAGATTAATGCAGAATTTCACTAAAATTTGTAAGATTTGTGAATTACTCCTCGAGTACAAACAGTATGTACCTATACCTTTGTTAGCAGCACATTTCATATTCATAAATTTTAGATTTCATTTCTTGAAATATGTGTTTAATAACAATTTTCTTATAAATATCTTGCCTGCTTTCAGAGCCTTCTCTTGGGCACTATCCATTGATGGGAAAGTCCAGATGTCTGATGGCCTAGAGTTTCCTGAACTACCAGGTAAATATTGGCAGTACAGATCAGATCTTGATTGATAAAGCGAAACCAATGAAGATGAGGCAATGGAAAAATAAACATTTCCTGAATTACGCTTCGGAATTGAATTTGATCAGTTTTAATGAAATCAAATATTTAAGACACCTCATTTCACAAGGTTTATGATAAATGAAAATGACAAGGAAAACTACTTTCAAAAACGAAATAAAACAGCAGTTCCGAGATATTTGATCTTCGATAGACTTAACCTTTTACATTATGGTGTGACTACTGTCTTTGGTACAGATGGTACCGGTGAGTTCATTGATGCTTGGCTGATGTTAGTGGAGAAAATGGTGAATCCTAAGACAGTCCTAGAGTCAACACACACTCTACCAGAGAAGTCTAGTCAGGCAGGCTTTGTGCCCTTCAGCCCAGTCCAGTACCTCATCAGCACACAAAAGGTACATATCTATCTTTAATATGGTTAGATGTGCTTTGTGCCTTTAAATGTCATTGCAGAACTTTTGATGATTGGAGACCCAATGGCCATACTTGTAGATAATATATGCTTGTTAATTGTTTTAGGCGGCTTTCAATGCGGTAATGCACCTATGGAACAAGAAGCCCTTGAAGCTGTATGGCGGTCGCATGTCTGAATCCATTCTGGCCATCTTGTGCCATATCATCAAGGGAGAGGCCATAATAAAGGTGTGTTCAATATAGCCTAGTGGGCTGGGTTAGACGGGTCATCTGTCCTCTCATACTGTCTTTCTTTCAATTGCAATCTTAAAAAATTGTTGCTGGAAATAATATCTGGTTATAATTGACAGATTCCCCAAAATGTTTTCACATCTTGGCTGTAAGTCAACTCTTGGTGCATTTACTGGTGTCTGTAACAAATAAATTACTCAGGGCTTTTGATCTTTGTCCTAAACAAGTTTGACTGTTTAAAAAATAAATAAGTTACAGCACTTATCAGACCCGCAAAACATTCGTCTTCTATAAGTTAAATTTCTTTTTGTGTCGCCTGCGAAAAGCTGGTGACACATAGGTATTGCTTTGTCGGCGTTGTCAGCGTCGTCGTCCGAACAGAGGTTTTCGTGCGATAACTTGAGTTTCCTTGGGCCGATCAAACTCAAACTTCATGCAGTGCTTGCTTGGGATTGCTTTTCAGGTCCGAAGGTCAAAGGTCAAGATCACTGTTAATATAAATAGAAACTTCACTAAAACTGTATACTGGACGGCTTCGATCTACCACTTGACCCACCGTGTATACCTCTGAAATGCCGTCTTACTCCAAATGTTATTGACAACACTAGCTGTTTAACATCATAATCCACAAGTTTATTCATTTATTTATGGGAAACCATCCGACAAATCATACAAATTAAACTTGGAATTGAGACAATGAGTATCCATAGCAAGTTCCTTAAAACTCGGAGTATTCTTCCCAGAATAACAGATTATATAACAAAATGATGCCATCCAAAAACATAATCTATGATTATTGCTTACTTTTAACATTATTTCTTGAAATGAAAAGTGTATCTATTTCTTCGTAATCTCCCAGCTTCCTGCGCAGGCGACACATCCACTTCCGAGGAATTCTTGTTATTATTTGTTATCAGGGGTTGACACTAACTTTTAATAGGTGGTGGACCGCAGGTCCACCTGCTCTCTTGATCTGGTGGACCTGGTTAATTTCTGGTGGACCTGAATAATATTCTCAGATCTGGGGTGCTTTGCGCCCCGGTCGACGAGCGTAGCGAGGAGTTGGGGGTGGGTTTGGGAGGGGTTCCCCCCCTCCTGAATAAGAGGGGGGTATGGGGGTCCTCCCCCGAAATTGTTTAAAAGCTAGATGCAAAATCCTGGCATCTGAGGGTTTTAAACAAATAATGAAGGTTTTTTAATTTTCTGTAAAATACTTGTTTTTTCTCCTTATTTTTTTATTTTTTCCATTTATGACCAAGTTTTAGTAAATGACACAGAAACATGAAACAATTTTCTCCTTGTTTTTTTTTTTTTACATAGCTCCCATCCAAAGGTGTTTGAAATTCTGACTGTAAATTGAGATAAAGATCATATGAAAAAATAAGGATAAAATAATATACTTTTTTATAGTATTATACCTTTTTTATATGATCTTTATCTCAATATACAGTCAGAATGTTAAAATCATTTGCCCCAACAGTAATCTTTACGTATTTTGTTGCACCTCTATTCAATCCTTCCTGGACATTTCGGAAAGATCTTCTGAGTGCAGCATACCCTACATTTCATTAAGTTTGTGTCAGTATCATTATTGAGCCATGTAAACGATTTTTCCATGACTCCTGAAAGGATATCATCCTTTTTGTTGCCCATACAAACTTTGTGTTGTTTTTGTTCTGTTGAAGTTTTTAACTTTTTTTTGCAAGTGGTTGTAAACCAAGCCATTTAAAAATCGCGACACAGGCGATACGGTACTAGTCTAGTACAGATACTAAGTGAATCGACGGACACGATCACCTAAACGATATACGCTAGAATACGATAGAAATTAAAACGTAACACGAAATTGTGAGGCTAAGTTTACCTTCATTTACCGGTTGACCACCGTGATCGTGACGTCATCGTCATTTAAGTGCTTATAATAGCGACAAACTATACCACAAGCGACTCAAACGCTGAAAAGATTCCGACTTACCGCAAGCGGATTCACGCACTTCACTCGTCCAAGAATGATAACGACAACTTTTAGCGGGTTAACAACACGAAAATACGATACATTTTTTAACCAGATGGGATTTTACGGCTCGCTGGCGAAGTAAATAAAGTCTTTATTAGTATATTTCTGAACAATATTCTCAAATATATATACACTAATCAAGTAATATGTGGTGGACCGGCGGTCTACCAGCTTTGGAGATTAAGTGGACTGTCCAAGAATTTGGTGGACCCGGTCCTCCGGTCTACCGTTAGTGTCGACCCCTGGTTATGATTAATTGTGCTTTTGAAGAAGACTGCTAGGGGTATTATTAAAACTAATTTTATATGCATTGATGTTATCACAGGAGTACTTGGGTAAGGAGAAGGAGGAGACCCCCAGCACATCAGGAAATAGCATCAGTATCCTGGCTCCGTCTGCTGCGAGTACTGCTGCTGCTGCTGCTCCCACACCTGCATCTGTACCGCGACCCAGCATCCCAGAAATCAATCCGTCACACCTACAGCAGGTCGGTTACTCAACAAATCACATTGATGTATTTAGAATCAAACTGCTCTCTATTTGTTAGGTAGATCTTTTGAAGAAGAAAATGCCCTAAACACAATTAGCTGCTTCTGTTGCTGAAATCAAGTTTTTGTAAATTATGGGATGTAGAATCATCACAGGATGGTCGGGAAATGTTGCTGAGGTGTAATTGATGTATATAACTTTCCTGTGATGATGTATCATAGACAAGCATATATCAGAATATTATTGGTGATATATTGATTAGACTGAGGAAAGAAATTTGTCAGGAAATCACAACTCTTAAAATCCATTGTACAATTACTAAATGTTATCAGATCAACTTAAGATGGTTTTATTGATTTGTACAATATGTTGGTGTGTTAACAGCTGATGGACATGGGTTTCTCAAGGGAGCATGCCACACAAGCCCTCAACCACACCACCAGTATGGAGCAGGCCACTGAGTACATACTGACACACCCACTGGTCCCAGCCCCCAGGACTCCGGCAAACGTAAGCAATGTAAGAAACTATTGAATCAGACTGCCCTTCTATCGCTCGTTTAGCCAATTTCACAAAACACGCATACTTTCTTTTATCATAGCCCGACAAGATTATTTCTACTTTTATAGCACTTCTCACAATCCTGAGGACTTGCACACTCACACATCTTTCCCTCCGACGCATGACTGTAGTTGAACAGACTAAATTTCTCGGCCTCATTTTTGATTCAAAACTCTCTTTCATACCGCATATAAAGTATCTGAAGGATATTTTACGAGTCCTTTCTCATACTGATTGGGGAGCGGACCGTGAAATGCTTTTGCGCCTATACAGATCACTTATTCGAACAAAACTGGATTATGGTTCTGTGGTATACGGGTTGGCGAGCAGTTTTTACCAGCAGATACTAGACCCAATCTATAACCAAGAGCTTCGTCTAGCTTTGTCCTCTCTTGGCTCCGTACTGGGCACACATATCCTACTCATTCCTACAACGAGAAGATCCACCTTCATGCCACGCATGTGACACTCCATTTTCAGTGGAACATTTTTAGCTCACCTGGCCTTTGGGCCAGGCGAGCTTATGCCATGGTGCAGCGTCCGTCGTCCGTCTGTCCGGCGTCAATATTTTACTTTAAACAACTTCTTCTTAATAACCAAAAGGCCTAGGGTGATAATATTTGGCCAGAAGCAAACTAGGATGAAGGGCTACGAAGTTTGTTCAAATAAATGACCTTCACCTATTTTCAAGGTCACAGGGGTCAAATATGTTAAAAACTTTAAACAACTTCTTCTGAATAACCAAAATGCCCAGAGAGATGATTTTTGGCTAGTAGCATGCTGGGATGAAGGGCTACCAAGTTTGTTCAAATGAATGACCTTCGTACATTTTCAAGGTCACGGGTCAATTGTCTTAAAAAATCTTTATACAACTTCCTCTGAATAACTAAGAGGCCTAGGCTAATGATATATGGCCAGTAACATGCTAGAATGAAGGGCTACTAAGTTTGTTCAAATGAATGACCTTTACTTGTATTCAAGGTCACAGGGGTCAAATATGTTAAAAACTTTAAACAACTTCTTCTGAATAACCAAAATGCCCAGAGAGATGATTTTTGGCTAGTAGCATGCTGGGATGAAGGGCTACCAAGTTTGTTCAAATGAATGACCTTCGTCCATTTTCAAGGTCACGGGTCAATTGTCTTAAAAAATCTTTATACAACTTCCTCTGAATAACTAAGAGGCCTAGGCTAATGATATATGGCCAGTAACATGCTAGAATGAAGGGCTACTAAGTTTGTTCAAATGAATGACCTTTACATATATTCAAGGACACAGGGGGCAAATATGTTTAAAACCTTTAAACGACTTCTTCTAAATTAGCCAAAGGCCAAGGGTGATGATATTTGGTCATTAACAGGCTGGAATAAAGGGCTACCAATTTTGTCAAAATGAATGTCCTTCGCCCCTATTCAAGGTCACAGTGGTCAATATATGTTTAAATCTTTAAAGGACTTGATCTGTATAACCAATAGGTCCAGGGTTATGATATTTTGCCAAAAGCATCCTGGGTTGGAAGACTTTAAACTCTATTCAACCGAATGTCCTTGTTCAACATTCAAGGTCACAGGCGTCATGTTTAAATCTTTTAATAGGTTCTTATGAATCAAACACTGATATTCTGCCTGTAGCTGTATTTTAGTCCACTTTTAAGATTACAAGTGTGAGATTAATACCAGGTGAGCGATTCAGGCCCATTGGGCCTCTTGTTTAATAGAATGTTCTGATTTTAAACACTACTTTCAAGTCCCGGATATGAAAACTCTTTTCAGTTCTGTGGACTCTAAGGCATTATTTAACTATTAGAAAGACATCGGTCCATTCTATAGACTCTGATGTCTTTTAACCCACCTTACCCTCTTTGACATTATATATATCACATAGTTCATATCATCTATTCATTATCTCTTTAATTATTGTAACCCCCTTTTTATTTTAATTATCTACCCAAAAAAATCGCAATAGCCCTAAGTGACAACAGCCGTCAATGGGCCGTTAAATACAAACAAACAAACAAAACCATGATATATCATTTTAATTAATGTCCACCTTGCATTCATTTGGTCCTCAGATATGAAGAAGTATTTTGGGTCTATTATTCAGAAAAGCATGCTTCGTATGATAACTTAAGTATTCAGACTTTCCGGTGATGAATATATCATAGACAAGCATATGTCATAATATCCTTGATGATATATTGATAGCGACTGAGGAAAGCACAAGTGTTGGAACAACAGGATAAATGAGAGTGTCAATTGTCCATGAATAAGGTTTGATTGGGAATGGGAGTGAAAATGGATGGAACAAAATGTTCCGCTGGAAAATAGGGTTGGTACAATCTTTCATCTGATGTACATCTAGAAGGGTTAAATATAATTTGAGGATAATTTTATTAAACACTAAATAGTCTTATCTGCAAAAGTGTGCTTGCAAGTTGTGGAACTGAGGTAGTTTTAAATACTATTATATGTTAAATATGTGAGAACAACCCCAGTTAATCTTCGTCCTTTTCACCTGAGTTTATGTAAGCTGTTTGAATGATATTCTATCAAGTTTCTCTCCTCTCGCCCAGTATTTTGCATGAATTTCACTTAATATTTATATAACTTCTGATAAATTTGGAAATATTGAAACCGTGTTTGTGACGGGGCATCTTTAAGCTTTGCAGTGCTAGACTTTCCAGTGATGAATATATCATAGACAAGCATATGTCATAATATCCTTGATGATATATTGATAGCGACTGAGGAAAGCACAAGTCTTGGAACAACAGGATAAATGAGAGTGTCAATTGTCCATGAATAAGGTTTGATTGGGAATGGGAG